ATGCATGTTCAATATGAAATAAAAAGGTACTTCACAAAAAGTGCAAGGTTTTCATGCCTACTGGCATAGCTGCAGAGATGGCTTCACAAATTTCTTATCCCTATACAGGATTCATTTATCTTGAAATAGCAAACAACTCTGCAGCAACAGGCCTCAGTTTACATACGTATCAAGTCATTCAATATTTTCTTTTAATGTTAAGCCTTTTTTCTGCTTCTTGGGATCACTACCGGGATCACTAGCAGCACTTAGTGAGAATCCCATCATGTTTGTTATTCAAGGTTTATGGCATTGCACTAAACACGATGAAAAATACCCAAGAACCACTAAGGCTGGCGAAACACAATTTATTGGAAAGAGGACCTACTCACATGGAGAAGACAGGATAAGTGGGCTTGCCCAGTTCAAACCTGTGTTGTTCAAAGGTCAAATGTATAGGAATCCTAAAAAGTGGGCATAATCTCTTCACCCCATACTTTACTACAATCAATTTAACACAAGAGGTAATCCTGGGTGTACATAATTCAAGTCAACAGACAAGGGTCTGAACCTAGTTCAGGACACTAGGCCTTTGGCGTCACATGGATACAATAAGTAAAAAGGCTGAATGCATCTTCGCCACTTAATTTCCACAAGTGTCTAGAAACTTCCCGTTAAAATGCATCTTCCCCTGGAAGCCTACAAGCTTCATTCAGTATTACCTTTAATATTAATATTATCCAAAACCTCCCCAAGTACTTTTAAATATTTGATTTTCCACCATTATGCTTACCGACCTTTGAATTCCTAATTAATGGGAGAATTATACTCAGCAGCGTTTAGTGTGGCGCTGCAAGATAATACACTGGATTGCAAAATCGGTTTGAACAGCAAGGTCTGTGGATCAAGCTCACCAGCCGCTCCTCGGAAATTCTATTTGGGGTCACTTGACGACATTTAACAATAACAACGTCAGTGTTCAGTAAACATTAGCTATCATCGTTATTAGTACATACTCGTACGGGCTACCCTCTCCTGGCTGGAGCACTCTGGACCCCATGAGTTGGACTTGGTACCCACCGTCGGTGACCGGGGTGGGTCTGGGACTTGAAGAGGGGCCCGGCGCCCTGGGCGTGGCGAGGAGCCCAGACGACGGAGAGGCTCCGGCAGTCGCCAAGGCTACCTCAGTGAAGTTGAAACCCTCGTTTGTCATCACCTCCGGAGTGGCCCCGGTCTGTGTGCTCACTGGGGCCCAGCAGCCCAGGAGCACTATCAGGATGGGCTGGAGGCCCGGCGGCCTCATCGCCCAGCGGTTCTGGGAACTATCCTGGCTTGCTAACCCTGTGTTGCCTGGCAACCACGGCCATCAGGCGCGGGGCATCACGGGAAGGAGGGCGAGAAGCCGCAAGAGACGGCGGGAACCAGGGGCGTGGAAATTCCAGCTGTGGTTTTCGCCCCTTACAGCTACTCTTGTATGCAGATTTCCGGGTTCCGTCTCTGGAGATTCTGATTCCATAAATGTAGCGTGGAACTTAGGAATCTGGACTTCTAAAAAATGTCCTGATGTAGCCAGTGAAGGAATGGAACTTTGGGTGCTTCTGCCCTAATACTACAAACTACGTGAGTTCTTTGAAGAAGCATGGGCGTCATACCACCATCCTTGATTCCTCTCCATCCAGGGACCGCTGGACCCTGCCTGGCTTTGCCTTTTTTGTTGGAGATGCATCCCTGGAGGTCGCCAAGCAACTTCTGTCCACTGCGTTGTGGTGAGAACGAATGAACACTAACTTTTAACTGACAAAATCATTGACAAAAATTAAGTATAACAGTTTCTAAATCTGAAAGGAAAACACAAAACCAATGTGCCGTATTCTACAAGTGATAATAAAGATCACAGAAGGAAGTCCCTCATTCTAAACTGGCTTATTTACAAAGAGGACTTGAACCCACGGGTACTGGTTTTACATTGGGCACGTAATCTCCTTACAGTTCAAAAACAGAAGTCAAAATACTTAAACATGGCTTTATTCGAGAAACGTATTTTACCAATTCTGAATTGGTAAATAACGTTTCTGGAATACCTAGCTTATTAAATGTGTATAAAAACCCACTACCACCCTATAGGACAGAATAGAACTGTTCCCTAGAGTTTTCGAGGCTGTAAATCTTTAGGGAGCCAAATAGCCTTATCTTTTTGTGTGTGTCCAGCAGCTGCTGAATTTGAACCGTCGACCTTGTGGTTAGCAGTCCAATGCAAAACCCACTAAAACTTGAATCGTTAAAGTATCTTTTTTACCTCCTTCTGGGCATTCCAGAGAAAGTACAAAAATGTGATTAGATCACTCAAATGTGAGTTAAGAGATTTCCAAATTTTTCTTCAAATGACTGCTTTAGTATCTGATGGAAATTCTGGACTACTTTTAAGAACTAATGAAATCTTCCCATGGAAAAAAATAATAAGCCTTTATTTTCCAAACTTGACTCTCGTAACTTTTAAATCCACAGTTGTTGTTTTGTTTTTAACCTTCATTTTCCTTTTGTTCCTTACATCTTTTAAGATTGAATTATTTTCTGCTTTGAATTTTTTGTTCAAACAGTGTGCTTTCAGTAATGGAGGACATTTTTAATGAAATGGGTATAAAAAAAATTTTTTATGTAGGTATTCATACAATTGTTGTTAAGTGCCTTTGAGTTGGTTCCCACCCATTGCTACCCTATGTAGGGTTTCCAAGGAGAGGCTGGTGAGCTTGAACCACCGACCTTGCTGTTCAAACTGACACTGCAGGGCCACACCAGGACTCCTTTCATATAATTAATGGGAATCTTATGTCCCAGGGGTCTTTGTTGAAGAGGTTGTAGGGATAAGACCTGTTTCTCCAGATTCATGCAGTCATACAAAATGCCACCAGATGGCAGCATGTACTAAAATGGGATGACTGTTTCCCACTAAGACCTGGCAATGGAAACTATTAAGTGCTGTCCAGTCGGTTCTGAACCATAGCGACCCTGTGTAGGGTTTCCAAGGAGCAGCTGGTGAGCTTGAACCACCGACCTTGCAGTTCAAATGGCTTTGCAGTCTGGCGCATTAACCCACAGCCACACCAGGACTCCTATTGTTGTTGTTAAGTGCCATCGAGTCGGTTCCGACCCATAGCGACCCTGTACAGGGTTTCCGAGGGTGTAAATCTTTACGGGAGTAGAAAGCCTCATCTTTCTCCCGTGGTGCGGCTGGTAGTTTCGAACCGCTGACTTTAAGGTTCGCAGCCCGATTCGTAACCACTACGCTACCAGAGCTCCTAGCAACTCCTATAGGTGGGCATTATACCAGAGGGCTTCAAAACGTTCCTGGAAAAATGTCATTATGTTTAATTGTATTTTTCTGTGAATTTTTTAAGCCCCCTTATATGTGCCAATCTGGGAAGGTTAACAATTGTGAGTCATTTTGCCCTATTTTCTTTTTTGATATTTTAGGTTATTAGATTAAACTTGGACAAAGTGCCCTTTAGCTTTAATATTTTTGTCTTTATCTGACCCACGAATTCCTCTTCAAGTCTAATAGTCTGTGATTCCAATTCTGTTTGGGAAATAATCTTACCACTCCTTCTTGTTCCACCTCAAACACTTAGTAGATGACCAAAAAGTTGAAATGAGGGTCGCATCAACTCAGATACACTTACGGAAACTAGAGCTTTCATGCCATAGGTGACCTGTCTCTGTTGCTGGATATCTTCTTGAGTCAAGCTTTTTTTCATCTTTTAACTTAGAGGAAGGATCCTTTCTCCCTTCCTTCTTCCCTGGCCTTAATAGGTTGGTTACCTCATTCAAATGGAAGGACACAAAGAGGAGCTAACATCTCGTGCCCTAGTTTGCCTAACACTGAAACCTGGGTTAAACATTGCACTGTTAACTGAAAGGTTGGAGGTTTGAACCTACCAGCCTCTCTGCAGGAGGACAATGAAGTCTGTCTGCTTCCATAGAGTTTAACAGTCTCAGAAGGAGACTAGAGGAACTGAGACTATGACCCTCAGCTGCCCTTCTTGTCTGGAGCAGAACTCACCCTCTTTGCCCAGTTTTCAGCCAAGCAGTAGATAGATCCATCAGGAGAATAACAACACTAGTAAGGTGTGCTCACCATGGAAGGGTCAATCATTCAAGATCAAAAGGGAAACATTCACCTAAAAACAGAAAAGGGATGGGAAGGAGACTGGAATGGAAAAGGAAACACTGTTGGAGGAGGGGATTGCAATCATTGAGATGAAACAAAGTGTACGATTTGGTAAATGTAAAACTGATGATCTTCTCTGTAAACCTTAACTCAATTCACAATAGAAAGTTTAAAGAAAAAATCAGCTACAAAATAAATTTTAAAAAGGTTAACATCCTGGGAAACCCTGTGGAGCAGGCCTGCTCTGTTTATAATAGGATCACTGAGTCACAATTGATTTAAAGGCAGTGGATTTGGTTCGATTTTTTTTTTTTTTTTTTTGGATGGGGGCGCGGTTTGCAGCATTTGGGTTCTTCATAAATGTTTGCGACTTAAGATGTCTTCTGTTTCTCTAGAATTCTTGGCATTCTCATGTTGTTGAGCCTTAGGAAGTTTTGGAATTCTGTGCTTGGAAACCTCTGCAAATGAGGAGCCTGAAAAGCAGAGACATAGAAGTAGCTGTTGTTGTTAAGTGCCATCAAGTCGGTTCTGACTCATAGTGACCCTGTGTAGTATTTCTGAGGAACAGCTGGTGGGTTTGGCCCACCAACCTTGCAGTTAATAGTCCAGTGCTTATCATACAGTGCCACACTAGGACTTTATAGGAGTAGCTGGTGGTGGTGATGCCCCATGGAGTCAGTTCCAACTCACAGAATGACTGGTAGTTTTGAACTACTGACCTTGAGGCTAACAGCCCGACTTGTAACCATTTCGCTGCCAGAGCTCCTCATAGGAGCAGTTAGAGAGGGGAAAAAATTAAGACGTGCTTTACAAGGTACAGTTAACCTCTCATCCTGTTTACTGGTGTAGTCTGAGGTGAATTGGTAGTAGTTGCAATGATTGTTATTATTGCTAAAGTCATGATTTGTAATCTGTTAAAATTTATTTTGGTTGTTGTTGTTAGGTGCCATCAAGTTGGTACCGATTCATAACAACCTTATTATGCACAGCAGAGCAAAGCACTGCCTGATTCTGGGCCAGCCTCACAATTGTTGCCACGCTTGAGCCAATTGATGCTGCCACCTGGCCAACCCATCTCATTGGGGGTCTTCCTCTTTTTCTCTGACCCTCCACCTTACCAAACATGATATCCTTCTCCAGCGACTGGTCCCCCCTGACAATATGTCTGAAGTATATGAGAGAGGAAGTTTGGCCATCCTGGCCTCCAAGGAGCACTCTGGCTATACGTTTTCCAACACAGATCTGTTGGTTCTTTTGACAGCCCATGGCACTTTCAATATTCTCCTCCAACCACCATAACTCAAAAGCATCAATTCTTCTACAGTCTTCCTTATTCACTGTTCAGCTTTCACATGCATATAAGGTTATTGAAAATACCATGGCTTGGGTCAGGTGCACCTTAGTCCTCAAGCTGACATCTTTGCTCTTCAACACTTGTGCAGCAGTTTGTGGTACTATGGTGACTGTGAGTCACTGTGATTCTGAAAGCTATGCCACCAGTATTTTAAATACCAGCAGGGTCACCCCGTGGTAGCTAGGTTTCAGATGAGCTTCCAGATGAAGACAGACTAGGAAGGAGTGATGAGCTACTTCCTAATATTTAGTCACTGAAAACTTTATGAATAGCAGAGAAACATTGTCAGATAGAGTGCCAGAAAAATGAGCCCCTCAGGTTAGAAGGCACTTTAAATGTGATTGGGGAAGAGTTGCCTCCTCAAAGTAGCTTTGACCATGATGACGTGAATGGAGTAAAGCCTGTGGGAGAAAAGCCTGCAGGACCTTCACTTGCTGATGGGGCACAACGCAAAATAAAGAGAAACAGCTGTAAACATCCATTGAAAATTGGAACATGGAATGTACTAACTATGAATCTGGGAAAATTGGAAGTTGTCAAAAATGAAATGGAACGCATAAACATCGATAGCTTAGGCATTAGTGAGCTGTTAAAATTAGGTACCATTATTTTCCTGCTAATAAGTATAATGTTATCTTCGAGAAGCCTTGGTGACCGTGACACAACTGTTAAGTGAGTGGCTGCTGACAGAGGTTGGAGATTCACACCCACCCAGTGACTCTGCAGGACAGAGACCTGCCAGTCTGCTCCCATCAAGACTGGTGGTGTGCTGTGGAGTTGGTTC